AAGTGGAGTGTCCAGTACAGTGGAGGGGGGTTCTTAGCGCAGAACTCGGTGGGAAGGGCAGCACGCAGGCGAGCATCACTAGTGCGAAGGTGGGTGATAAGATCGGCGACTGTAGCAAAGGTGGACAGCTCAGGGAACAGGTACGGCAGCATGAGGCGGCTAAGCTCGGCTGTGGCAGGCGAGGAGTAGCGAGCAACGACAGCATCGTACAGGGCCTTAGCGGATTTGCAGTCGCCAAAATGCTCGAGCTCAGCTAGCGGCAGGTGACTGCGAATGGCTAGGCGAGCAGCTGCGTCACGGGTCTGCCAGTGGGAACTAAGCTCAGCTGTGGCAGGAGGGGCAGGTGCAGCACCAGACGCGTAATCATAGAGCGACACATGCTCCTTGCTATCGCTCAGAAGGAACAGCTGCAGGTCATCCAGCCAAGTGGCGAACTTCACAGGGCGGCCCTCAGCATCGAACGACAGCACGCGGATGGAAGCCATAGTGACAGTGCGACTGAGTAAGGAAGCTGCCGCAGCGCTGCAGGTAGGTAGCTCGGCGGGAAGCGCGGCGGGCGGGCGACTCGGCGAGCGGGCAGTGCGGGGGGCGGGCTACGAAGCGGGCAGCGCGGCGGGCAGGCGGCGCTGCAGGCGGGAAGTGCGGCGGGCGGGCTGCGAAGCGGGCAGCGGGGCGGGCGGGCGACGCGGCGAGCGGGCAGCGCGGCGGGCGGGCTGCGAAGCGGGCAGCGGGCGGGCGGGCGACGCTGCAAGCGGGCAGCGGGCGGGCGGGCGACGCTGCGAGCGGGCAGCGCGGCGGGCGGGCTGCGAAGCGGGCAGCGGGCGGGCGGGCGACGCTGCAAGCGGGCAGCGAGGCGGGCGGGCGACGCTGCGAGCGGGCAGCGCGGCGGGCGGGCTGCGAAGCGGGCAGCGGGCGGGCGGGCGACGCTGCAAGCGGGCAGCGAGGCGGGCGGGCGACGCTGCGAGCGGGCAGCACGGCGGGCGGGCGACGCTGCGAGGGGCGCGCGAGGGCGCTAACGAGAGGCGCACGAGGGCGCTAACAAGGGCGCGCGAGGGCGCTAGCGAGGGCGCGCGAGGGCGCTAACGAGAGGCGCACGAGGGCGCGCGAGGGCACTAACGAGGGCGCACGAGGGCGCTACGAGGCTAGGGCACGGGGTAGCGTGGTAACCGCATGCGAGCGGTGGTGGGCCCTTAAAAAAAAAAAACGGTCGGTAGGTCCTAGGGACCTCCTGCTCTGAATACCATTTCAGAAGAACTAGGCAAGAATGATGCATTGAATGGAAGAATTGGGTACAAGTAGCAAACCCTAGTTAGGGTTGTACCCCATATTGGCTACCCCACTACAGCCTACCAACATAATACAGTTTTACAAGGGCCTCAGTTATCAGGATAATTTATCCTGATTCTCCTGAATTCAGGATAGGTGTCGTGTGCTAGTCATGGAAAAACAGCATAGCGGGAATAATTGTCCTGTAATTTCAGTATAACGGTAATTTTGCGTACTGAAAACTCAGGATAGTGTCGAATCTCGCTTTAAAGCGAGATGTACTGTACAAAAAATCTCCTGGGTTTAGGGGCCTAAAATGTGTACGGGCGAGTAAGAGCAAGCGTGAATCGAACAAGAGACCTTTCTCGTAACCCATTGTCGCTTTACCCGCTACCACACTTCACCTGTTACGCAATTTGAGCACTAAAATAACAGCATATAAAAATAAATAGCACTGACATTTCAGGATACCTCACCCTGTGCAGCCCTGACAATTCAGGGCAAATTCTGATTTCCTAAAAACTGCCCTGAGGCCTCAGTGTACCCCCAAACGAATCTGAGGCCCTGCCGCATCAGGCAATGACATTACACGAGGATTTGGATCTTGGCGTAGATGACGTGGCGCTCACCTGAAACCGCCCCTGGCTTTCAAGTCGCAGGTTTTGACGATAGGACTACACGCAATTATTGCGGTTGGCTTGAATTTGCGTGTTCATGTTCATACAGTAATTTTTTAGTAGCTGCACGCACCTGCAAGACAGGGATGATTCTGTCGCTAGTCAAGCTTTTACCCAGCAGCACTTTATACTTAAAAACACTTAGCCGTCACTGGAACCACCATTTTAGCCTCAAAGCATTGGTTTTACACCTCTAGTCAAGCAGTCTGATGACCTCATGAGCAGGGGCATGAATCACTGTAGGAAGTGGAACAAAGAAACGAGGTGAGACTATGACAATGACAATGACAAGGCCGCCATGGCCGGAAACCGGAACTTCGGAGCTACCAATGTCTAGCAATTTCTGTCAAACATTGTATGTTTATATTGTGTAGGCTATAGTGGGTCTAGCCTTAGAGGGTACACAAACTTAGGGTTTCATACTTGTACCCACCTTCCTGCTAGTTCATCCATTCCTCGTTCAGTTATTCTGACATGGTTTCAGAGCAGGTCCTTCGCTAGGACCTAAGTTTTTTTTTTTTTCGGGCCCACCTCTACTAACTACTTCCTAGCGCCTTAGTGCGCCCTACTGTCGGAGTGCTGCGTTAGCGCCTCCCCCTCTGCGCCCTTGTGCGCTCTACCTTACGTGCGCCCTCGTGCGCCCTCGTGCGCCTTTCTCTGCTAGTGCGCCTTCGTGCGCCCTCGTGCGCCCTCGTGCGCCCTCGTACGCCCTCGTGCGCCCTCGTGCACTCTCGAGCTGCCCCTGCAGGTCCGTCAGGCCAGTGCGCAGCCTCTGCACGACCGCACGCCGCCCCTGCAGGCTCTCGCCGCCCGCCGCGTCGCCCTGCCCGTGGCGTCACCGCCTCCCCGCGACGTTGTCGCCTGCCCGCGACGTAGCCCCTGTCCGCGGCGTCGTCGCCTGCCCGCGGCGCCGTCGCCTGCCCGCGGCGTCGTCGCCTGCCCGCGACGTCGTCGCCTGCCCGCGGCGTCGCCACCTGCCCGCCGCGTCGCCACCTGCCCGCCGCGTCGCCACCTGCCCGCCGCGTCGCCCTTCTCGCCGCGTCGCCCTGACCTAATCCGCCTCTCGCCCCTGGAGCAGCCGCCACTGCAGCAGCAGCCCCTGGAGCAGCCGCCACTGCAGCAGCAGCCCCTGGAGCCGCCCGCCACTGCAGTAGCAGCCCCTGGAGCCGCCCGCCACTGCAGCAGCAGCCCCTGGAGCCGCTCGCCACTGCAGCAGCCGCCCCTGGAGCCGCCTGCCACTGCAGCAGCCCCCTCTGGAGCAGCACGTACCTGCAGCAGCCGCCCCTGGAGCAGCCCGCACCTGCAGCAGCTGCCCCTGGCCCCTGGAGCAACCACAGCTGCAGCAGCCGCCCCTGGCCCCTGGAGCCGCCGCCACTGCAGCAGCCGCCCCTGGCACCTGGAGCAGCTGCCGTCGCGGCCCGGCCTCGCCCTGCAGCAGCTGCCGCGGAGCTCCCTGCTACGGCCCGGCCCAGCCCTGCAGTTGTAGCGGCCCCGCTGTCGCCACCGTCTTGCGCCTGCCGCGCCGACCATTGCCCAGCACTGCTACCGCTGCTACTACTGCTGCTACTGCCTTTTCTACTCCCACTGCTGCCGCTACTGCTACTACTACTGCTGCTCCTGGCGTGGCCAGATGCAGCTCCAGGGCCGTGCGCGTGAGTCCCTCACGCCCCAGCAGCTTCGTGCGCGTGAGTGGTACACTAGTCGGGGCTGTCGGGGTGGCCGTAGTGGTGGTCGCTCTGGAGTGGGTCGGTCGGGAGCTTCTGGTAGTGGACAGGTGCAGCTGCCGTGTCCTCCTTCGCCCCAGGTGCTTCGTGCGCGTGAGTGGTACGCTAGTTGGGGCTGTCGGGGTGGCCGTAGTGGTAGTCGCTCTGGAGTGGATCGGTCGGGAGCTTCTGGTAGTGGACAGGTGCAGCTGCCGTGTCCTCCTTCGCCCCAGGTGCTTCGTGCGCGTGAGTGGTACGCTAGTTGGGGCTGTCGGGGTGGCCGTAGTGGTAGTCGCTCTGGAGTGGATCGGTCGGGAGCTTCTGGTAGTTGACTGGTGCAGCTGCCGTGTCCTCCTTCGCCCCAGGTGCTTCGTGCGCGTGAGTGGTACGCTAGTTGGGGCTGTTGGGGTGGCCATCAATGAGCCTGTATAGTACGTTCTTGCCCTGCTGCTGCGCCTGCTGCCCCTGCTTCTGCTCCTGCTGTCCATTACTCCCCTGCAGGTTCTCGTCCTTGCCTTGCTCCTGTTTTATACTTTGCCGAAACTCCTGCTCCTGCTGTTGCAGCACATCTCTATCCTCCCCAATCACACCCCTGCCTCTGCCACGCACCCGCCCTCCAAACAACCAAAAGCCCCCGTATCCACCACCCACAAGACTCAACATCCTCTCAAAAATACTTTCTTGACCAGCAACGTTCCCATGAAAACTCTCCTGACCAGCCAGAAAATGACTTGTCAAACCATCCAGGCAAGACAAATCAGTCCGACCAGCAACACTCCCACCGTCTGCCTGTGCAGGCCCCACAGCAGCAGCACTGCAGTGTTGGGGCGCCTCTGTCGCCATGGAAGGGGAAATACTCTCCTCCGCCAGTGTGCGTGCAAGCAGAGCAGCGCGGGGGCAGCGGATTGCCCTGGGTAGAGCCTACATTGGCCGTGTGCCCCTTCCTGCTTCTCCCCTCGCCCCTCCCCTCTCACTCACTCCTGCTGGCAGTGAGGGTGCCACGTGGACTGCAGATGCCAGCTCAGCTGAAGATGCCAGCTCATCTGAAGATGCCAGCTCAGATGCTGTTGGTGGGTGCATGCGAAGGCCATGTGCTGCCAATGATGGCTGTGAGGCTGTCGCTGCTGCGGTTGTCGCTGCTGCTACTGCCGCTGCTGCCAAATCAGCACCAAATGCTCCTGACAGCCTATGCTGTCCCCGTTTCTCCGTCATCCCAGCATCCGTTGCTTCACCCTGCCGCACCTTCTTTCTTCCACTTTTCCCCTCGCCCGCTCCCTTCCTGCACGCCCCTCCCTCTCCCTTCACCTCTATCTCATCTCTGAGTCCCCTCTTCTGCCCTCTCTGCTCTCCTGCTTTAGCGGACCGCTTCTGCTTCCTCTGCACTCCTGCAGTAACCACCAAAATCCCCTCCTCCATTTCTTCACCTCCTCTCTCCTCTTCTTCCTCCACGCCCACCTCCTCTTTCACAGTACTTTCCTCCTCCTCGTCTAACTCTTGTTCGAGCTTCCCCACCTTCTCCTCTTCCTCTCCCTCCTCCACCTCTTCGCCTTCCATTGACTGTTCCTTGTGTTTCACTCCTTTCCGCATTTCCTCCTCCTCCTCCTCCTCCTCCTCCTCCTCCTCCTCCTCCTCCTCCTCCTCCTCCTCCTCCTCCTCCTCCTCCTCCTCCTCCTCCTCCTCCTCCTCCTCCTCCTCCTCCTCCTCCTCCTCCCCCTCCTCTACACAACTCCCCACCATCCTCACTCTCCCTCTCTCTGCTCTCCTCTCTCCAACTGCCACACCACTCTTACCACCAACGCCCTGACTCCCACTTGTGCCTCGCAGCATTGATTCTTCTCGCTTAATTTTCTAGATAGCAGTGCCAACACGAGCAGAACCAGCGTCAGCAGCAGCAGGAGTGGTGGTGATTGTAGTCGAGGAATTATACCTCCCCTCACCACTACTGGTAGCAGCAGTGCCAGCGTCACCACCATTGGCAGCATCAGCAGCATCAGGGGCAGCAAGGGAGAGAGAGGGGGAGGAGGAGAGGGGGCGGCGGCGGTTGAAGGCTTGGGCTTGGCGGCGAGAGATCTCCTTTATGCAACGCTGAAACTGATGGGGGAGAAGAAGAGAAGTTGGGAAGGTGTAGAGGAAGGGGATACTGAGTCCACATAGAACACGGTATGTTGCGAATCAACACAGAAGGCTTGGGCTTGGCGGCGAGACATCTCCTTTATGCGCCTCTGGAACTGATGGGGAGAGAGGGAGGGAGGGAGGGAGGGAGGGAGGGAGGGAGGGAGGGAGGGAGGGAGGGAGGGAGGGAGGGAGGGAGGGAGGGAGGAGGGAGGGAGAGAGAGGGAGGGAGGGAGGGAGGGAGGGAGGGAGGGAGAGGTAGGGAGGGAGTTTGGGACGACGACGGACGGAAGGAAGGTAGGTCGTTGTTTTTAGGAAGTACAATGGAAGGGGCTTTTTGCGTCCACTTGAGATCTAGTCGTTTTGAGTCAACTGAAAAGACTTGGGCTTGGCGAGGACATACCTTCTTTGCACCTCTGGAAGGGAGAAACAGCGAGGGAGAGACGGAATTACCAGGGCAGCGAGGGAGTGGTGGTGGTGGTGGCGGTGGTAGTGGTGGCATATCTACCAAGAAGTCTTGCAGTAAGAAGAGGTTATTTCGGTAACAGGAATTAGGCCACAGGAATTGGTCATCATAGTGAAAAGAGGGTCCGCAGGTGTTTCGAAGAACAGGAGAGGAAAGAGAAGGGCGAAAGGAGGGCGAGGCAAGACAGTAGTGGGGTGGGGGGGGGGGGGGGGGGGGGGAGGGGGGAGGAAAGGATGGGAGGAAAAAGGGAATGATGGGCTACGGTTTGAGGGGGGAATGCTTACCTCTTCATTGCGCCTGGCCTCCTCTGTGTGCAGTGTCATCTCCTGGGGAAGAAGAAAGAAGGGAGGGAGAAAGCGAGGTGAGAGCATCTGAGGAAAGAGCAAGTGAGGGTAATGAGCTAATATTCTCATTGCGCTCAGCCTCCTCTGTATGCAGTGTCATCTCCTGAGGAACGAGTGGTCAGGGAGAGAGGAAGCAAGTGGGACAGAGGGACGGAAGGGAGAAATCCAATGGAATGAGGTGATTTTGTGCCTGCCCTTCTCTGTATGCAGTGCAGTGTCATCATCTGGGAAAGAGGAGGTAAGGGAGAGAGGAAGTAAGGAGAGAGCAAGTGACAGGAGAGCAAGTGAAAATAGAATGAGAGGCGAGAGAGTGAAGAGAAATATGGGAGGACAGAACAGGAAACAACAGAACAGCAACCTATCATCATCCATTGAGAAATGGATAGTGATCATCATGGGATCTTCCAACAGAAGTCATGGGATGATGATAGTGCATATGAAGGGACGACTTCATGGCTTCCTGCTCTGGCCCCCCAAATTTCTCAGGATATGCTTATTTACCGAGGGAAACAGGAACTATCACATATTAGTATGAAGTTGTCTCCAAAGATTTTACGGACGGGAATTACATATGATGGAATGCAGAAACAGAATTCACATTCAGTTTGATGGAATTCAGAAATGCAGAGGGCGGGAAAGCAAGAGCAGAGATGAGCCCTCATCACCTTGTTCACCCCAACCCCACCATCCTTCCCCCTTCCCCCCTTCGCCCTTTTATTTCCCCTTCTCCCTCACCTCCTTCTCGATCCTGTCTCTGTTGGGGAACACAGCAGCCACCAGGGCATCGAAGCGCGGGTCAGATCAAAACGCAACAGCACTTCTCATCTTGTTTACCTCTCAGCCCCACCCACCAACCTCCACCCTCCCCCAACCTCCCTCTCCCACTCAGCTCCTTCTCAATCCTGTCTCTGTTGGGGAAAACAGCAGCCACGAGCGCATCAAAGCGCGGGTAGGCACGCAGCGACCGCTCACAGTTACCCCCTCACAGAGACCTCATAATACCCGGCATCACCCCTGCACCTCGGTACCTGCTCCTCCAGTACTCCCCTTTCACTCACCTTCTTTTCAATCCTGTCTCTGTTGGGGAAACAGCAGCCACAAGTGCATCAAAGCGCGGGTCGGCCCTGAGGGACCGCCTGCTGGCGCAGTGGGCGCGGCACGAGGGGCACTCGTTGTTGCTGCATGGGGGGAGGGGGAGGGGAGGGGGAGGGTGATGGGGTAGGATTGCATCATGTGTCAAGTCAACATTCTCCTTCACCCCACCATTCGCCTTCACCCCACCATTCGCCTTCACCCCACCCCAAACTTCACTGCATCCGAGCCTGCAACTCACCCAGCCTCACCCAAGCCTGAATTTACCCAAGCCTCCATCTTGTCCGAGCCTCAAGCTCATCCAAGCCTGACCTACATCGCACACAAACCAGTGGTCTCACCTGAGTCTGCATCTCGTCTGCGCCAGACCTTCTTCTCACCTGGCCAGTACTCCATCTGACTTTTGAGGCGCCTCAAAAGTAGACACCTGAGTCTGCATCTCGTCTGCGCTAGACCTTCTTCTCACCTGGCCAGTACTCCATCTGACTTTTGAGGCGCCTCAAAAGTAGACACCTGAGTCTGCATCTCGTCTGCGCTAGACCTTCTTCTCACCTGGCCAGTACTCCATCTGACTTTTGAGGCGCCTCAAAAGTAGACACCTGAGTCTGCATCTCGTCTGCGCTTGACCTTCTTCTCACCTGCCAGACCTCGAATGGTCCAAACCCTAAACCCTGCCCAGACCTCCATCTCCCCCAAGCCTCGATCCCATTTCTGACCATCTCACCGGAGCCTGACGCTCGTCTCACCCGAGCCTGATGGCTGTCTCACCCGAGCCTGACGTCTGTCTCACCCGAGCCCGACTTCTGTTCCACCAGAGCCAGAAGGCCCTCTCATCCCCAAGCCTGAAACCCATCTCCCCGAGCCTTACCCGAGCCTGATGGCTTTGTCGATGCAGTCCCCACAGAAGCGGTGCAAGCACTCCATGACTGTGCGCGTCCGCCTGATGATGCCTGTTGGCCAATGGGAGACCGCCACGTCAGCGCCACGTGTCATGCAGAGGCGACAACCTTGGCTTGGGATAGCCCCAAAACTGAGAACTCTTTTATATTATTTTGACAACTAGACGTAAGGATGCCTTGTCTAAGGTGGACAGGACAGGCTGTCGACCTCAGGCTTAGAGTTGTCAATCTCAGGTTTAGGGTTGTCAACCGGAGGTTGTTCACCATGCAAGAAGCAAGCACATGGTAACACTTCAGCAGAAAAGCTGATCGGTAAATGACAATCAGACATAACACGTGCCAGTGGCTCTCACCAAGGCATATAGGGCATTGTAACTCTTTCCTGATGTCTATCCGTGATATGGAGACCATTCTGCAGGGGGGAAGGGTGGGCATGGCAGCCGCATTGCAAAAATGCTGGCATTTAGGGCAGATTGGTAGCAATACGGAAAATTGGTGGGATTCAGGAAAATTTGGTGCTAACTAGCGAAAAATGGTGTCGATTAGGGGGAATTGGCCGCATTGGGGGGTAAAAAAATGGAGTAATTCCGGAGGACAAGAGACTCCACCCAACAGCAGTGCAAGGGGAAACAGGTAATAATTAGAGGTTAAAAAGGCTTCTGAGGCGCCTGAAAAGTTGGCGGTTAGAAAGAGTGGCCCCTCTCGCGCAAACAACAATGATAGTAGAAAAGACTCCGAGCAAAAAGCGATCAGTTTTCGACGGAAAATAATGGCACAATCACGGATTTGGCGGAAACGAACGAATTGCTCGAGTCGCACAGGGATTACGCCGAATGAATAAGACTTACTCCTGTGCTTCTGGCGTCGGCCTTTTTGCCGAAACCATGCTGATTATGAAAGACAATGGCGGCTGTAAGGATGGTATGATATGCAGGCGACGAGAGTGATTTGGCGGTGCGGGGATAAAAGCCGCGGTAGTCGCGGAAACACTGAAGTGTTCCATGGGTGGTGACACCGTTGCGATCTTACGTTCGCTGCGAATTGCAATCCTTGCGAAACAGAACTTTGCGAAAAGGCGACACTGATTGTAACTACGGCGCAAGAAACTTCCTGCTTTTCCTGATTTGTACACAGCAGCACCCTTTCACAACGGGTAACTTCTCTCGAGCAGAAGTGCAGTGAGGGTTGGTAACCTGTGTATTGCACGTCGCCTCGGGAAAGCCTTACATTCGCGAATTCTGCGATTACGTCTAGGTACCTTTCGCGACGCCCCCGACGCCGAGATCAGATGGGATCTTCGTCAGCTGTTGGGTGATGGTGTAATCCCTGGAATCCGCCAACGAGAGATCCGCGATCCTACCATCCTGCATTTGAGCCTTTATGAGACAGGGACCACGGCTTTGGTGGCACTCGTGGATGTTTTATTATTACAAGTAACCCTTTTGCAGGGCTGCCATATGCGAACAATCTGGAGTTTGACGAGCTTCGCAGATGTTGGCCACACCGAAATCACGCAACCCCCATGCGGTAATCCTCTTGCCCGAAGAGTGCTGAAAATGAAACCCCTGGGTGGAGCACTCTTCTCTACCTCGTGTTTCGCAAGTTGAAATCTATTCGCTGATGTACGTACACCGTCACCGAAATTCTAAACTACGGAGACCCGCAGTGAACAAAGAGTAAACCAATGCGTCACCCTAAAAAAATCCACTCCCCAGCCCGCCAACCCCAAACGGGCGATTTTGTCTTGGCACACACTTCGCTTGCTTCGTCGTCAGGCCACTAATACATTGTACAGTCGATGCTCAGCCTATCACAAGAATTTGCACCTACAATTAGAAAATCAGTCACTCGCGAACGTTTTGCCTGTGAGTGGTGATTGTGCTGATTTCGGGGTACAGTCACCAAGTCGCGGAAGAAAACATCTACAGTTCATAAACAACAACGGCTGCCTGTCATCAGAATTGTTTACCTGGTTACGAACTTAAACCCCTAGACTCGTTTCACATTCCAATTTCATTTTACAATCACAATTTTGCCCGTGGCGACAAGGGCGAATGTGGCGAAATCCACAAAACTCGTTTCACTCA